AGCCTGGAGTTCCAGGATTTTTGTCATGCGCCGATCCTTCGGAACTGCCAGGACGGAGTTGAGTGCCACAAGGTAGGTCATGATGATACTGCCCTTGAGCTTACGCTTGTGGTGCAGATGGAGCATGAACTCGGCTAGGAATTGAGGCGATGCAGAAGTGGGGTCTTGTTTGCCCCTGCAAAAGCTCTTGAAGGATTGCCACTTGTCGTCATAGAGGCTCATGGTGGTTGGGCGATGCGCCTTTGGCGTTCAGTGCTCTCTGTAAATGGACCAGACATGAAGACATAGCTTGTCTGGTCCTGGGTGTGGCTGTCTGCTGTGAGGGCAGATCAGCAGATTTGGCCAATCTGGGAGTGGCAGTGGGTTGGCGTCGGATAGATCTCAGAGGTCGATGAACCAAGCCCTCTCTGGCCACCAGGGCGAGACCAAAGTCAGATCGAAGTTCTGTGTCAATCTGATCTTCTGGACGACTTTGGGACGCTGGTCAGGATCTGGTAGTTCTGGCTGGTGGAGAATAGGTCTATGTTGGGGAGACCATGGTTTCGACAAACAAGAGCAAAGGCGTCTGGGTAAAGCTTCCATTCTGTGGGAGCGACTTTGCCTGGCTGAGATAGTGCATCGCTAGGATGTTTCGGCAGCCCAGAATGTGTTTGACCTTGAACTGAATCCCCAGATGTTCTGCCAGATGAAACAATCAGAATGTCTGCTGCAGGAGCGAGGTCAAATGAGTCGTTCCCTGGTTCCGTAGACACCATACGGCGGTTATGTTGTCCGTCGAGATGGAGAGCCGGGCATGTCTGAGGGCCTGCTTCCAATGAGCGATGGCCAAGATAAGCGCCTCCAGTTCGAGGTTTTTGATGTGCCATAGGTGCTGATCAGCGGACCACAGCCTGGAGGCAACCTGTCTCGCCTTAGACATTCGATTCCATTGTCCACCACTGGAGATGCTGCTTGAGATGATCCAGGAGGACGATGGACACTGAGGGGCCCTGGCGCCGGAAGTAGGGAGTCAGGAACATCTGAACTGTCACAGTTGGAGCCTTCCTCTGTAGGTCAAGTCCTGCGCTGAGGTTAGCAGGCCCAGGAGGACTTGCCATTAGCACCGAGTTCGTGGTAGGGGGAGGGCTGGAGTCAGGGGCGCCTGCATGCACTCCCACCAGTCTCTGGGTACAGAGAGGAGGTCGAGGTGCATCTGGAAGAGGCCCCCAATGAACTGAAGGCGATTTGAGGATGTCAACTCTGACTTTGAGTCTTCCACAGGAGCTAGAGGGCGAAGTCCCTGTGGCAGAGTAGAGTGACAGTGTCCCGATGATTCAGTAGGCAGTCGTCTATGTACGCCTCAGCTGAATATCCCAGTGATGGAGGTCGGGGACGAAGAAATTCCAAATCAGAGGACCGCCCATTGATAATGGACTCCCTTGAAGAAAAAGCGGAGGAATTTCCGGTCGTGGGGATGTCTAGGGACATGTAGATAGGCGTCCTCGATATCCAGGCTGATGAGTACATCCTGTGCCTGTATCTGGGATCGCAGTGGCCTGAGCGTGGTCATTCTGAAATAAGGTTGATGCGCCAGGTAGCCTTTGTTGAAAGCGGCGAGGTTGTGGATCATCCTGTTTGTCCGAGTCCTTCTTGGGGACCTGGAAGACAGGTGAATAGAAGCTCGGTGTTATGGCTGGGGCGTGTATAACCTCTATGGCTTTCTTGTCTACCAGTGCCGTGATGTTCCGGCTCAGTAGCTGCTGTTGAGTATGTATCCAATATGGGGGACGACGTGAGTAGTGGGTTGTCCATAAGCTTCAGCTTGTACCCTTGTTGGATGACGTTGGTGACATATGGGTCCCCCAGGATCTCCCAATTCTGACAGAATCGCTCCAGTCTCCCACCTACTGGAGTGTCGACAAGTTGGACGGCTGGAGGTGGGAGGTCCCAGTCGTGCCTGTCTGGCGATTCACTTGAGGTTCCTGCAGTCGGCGTTACCTCCCTTGGACTGGTATGTGCCCGAGGACTTTCTTTTTCCTCTGCCTCTGCCCCGAGAGGTTGAGGTGGAGCCCCGCCCCCGAGTCTGGAGGGTGTTGCGTTGTGGCTGGTAAGAACCAGACTGGGACGCCTTAGCAAAGGCTGGCTGTGATGCCCTGGCCAGGGCCTTGAGAGCCGTCTCATCTAGGGCGAAGGCTGAGACCCGGGTGTGTGTCTTGGATATCTGTCCATTAAAGAGGTCAGAGGCTGACCAAGGTTGACGCAGAAGGTTTCTCTTAAAATCTGGTTAAAATCAGGTACCCTAGGCGTCTAGTGGCTGCGAGCTCCATCAGAGCGGCGCGCATATGAGAGCACATGTCCCACTTGTTGTTGGAGGTAGGATACGACAGTTGTTAGGTTTGTCAATCCTATGGGGTTTATCCTCCAATAAGTCCTGCAGTATAGCCCTGGAGGACAACGCCATCAGTGAGAGAGGTTTGAGCGTGTGGCAAATCTCGGTTTCCACAAAGGCGAGTTTACTGTCTGAAACTCGAACTGAGATGGAGCAGATCGATTCCGTCATGTGGTGCAGATCCTCATCTAGGGTATGAGTGCGGTCCGCAACTTGAAGAGAGTGGACTGGGTAGTCATCTCGTCTTGCCTCCAATCTGTCTACCAGCCAGTCTGCGACTTGGTCTAAACCCAGGTGGGACTCGCCATCCATGGGGGTGTCGTCATAAAAGTGGATGAAGGTGCCCTCCGAGGAGTCAGACCGATAGCCACCGGAGCGTCTGCGAACTGGGGAGCGGCTCCAAGATTGATGACCCTGAAGATAAGATCTGCTGTCACTCCGACGTGAAGATGTACTTGGGGAAACCGAGTCCACGGAGTAACGAGAGGTAGATGGTGTCTGTATAGTCGACCGACTAGGCAGTGGCAGAGGCGCGGGCTTCTGTACAGGCGCTATTGGATAGATACGTGTCGTCTGTAAGGGCGCTTGAAGTGTCTGCAGAGACTCTGTCCGGAAGATAGTATAGAGGCCGTTTGGTAAGTTAGCGCCACGTCGGGTGTCAAGGTGTCCGCAGCCGTAAAGATAGACACTGTAATGGTCGTCAGAGTGCTCTGAGTCGAGGCTGCAACCGTGGGGTCTGACATCAAGGTAGCAGTTGAGGTCCGGGGGGGGGGGGGGGGGATTCATCCGAGATGGCCGATCTGGAAGGCGAAACCTTGGAGTGGTCTGACATCCTGCGCCGGTGTTTCCTGGTCTGCTGTGTTCTGCGTTTCTAGGAAACACGGAGATACTGACTGAAAGCTGTGGGTGTAAGCAGTAGAGTCTTTACATCGGTGACCCTGGAGGCATCCCACGTTGATATATTACGCCAGCACTTTGAGCAGGAGGGCATGATATCTGCAGTGTAAAATCACAATGCATCCCCGCCCGATTATGTATGCTATAATTTGTTTATCCCACTGTGTGGGTTTATGAAACAATTATTATGACAAACGTAAGACAACATACAATGAAAACAAACAAACTTACGAGGATAGGCCAATCCCCGGGCAACAAGTAAAAAAGAATATAGAACGCAAACCAGTTCATTAACTGCTGGCCACGTAAAATATTCAAGATGGCTACTTGAAACAACAAGAAACCTGGCATTATGTTTTCTTTTGAGAAAACGCCAGTAAGTGTCTAATAACTTTATGAACAAGTTTATCAAACATAGAATTTACAAAAAACAAACAGTAGGCACAACACAAAGACAAAAAACATTAACTCAAAGAGCAAACACGTGAGGGTTTGAATAAGTTTATGCTGCAGAAAAAAACAGGTCTTCACTCAGCAAGTGACAAGAGTAATGTGAGGATCTGTGACGTCACTTCTTTGGTCACGTGGGTGCTGCGTGATAGTGTTGGCCTCTCAGCTAGTTGGAACAACTTCAAGCAAAGACCCTCACACAGCTTTTCTCTCTCAAGAACAAGCAGTAAAATGCATTAAGGAGTAATGCAGGATAAGTAAAAAATATACAATATAAGGATTGAAGTTGAAATACAACTTCAATCGTTCATGAAAACAGATACATATATACACACACAAGGAAGCAGGACCAAATCATTCTTGTCTGAGACTGTCAGCTGATCATAGATATCACGTTCATGTCAGATAGATATTTTCATCAAGTCCAATGGCTTTCCACGGGGATATAGTGTTCTTCCTGTACTCCAGGATCACATCGATTCCTTTCTTGAAGATTCTGGTCTGCACTTTATGTTCTGTGCGGAGAGTATACGCCTTTGCCGACAACTTACCTCTGTACTTTTTCAAAACAACAGGTAGATCTGTACGGATCGACATTTTTCTATCTCTCAACATTGCCGAGTTTGAGAAACTAGCTTGCCACACATCCTGTCTATCAGCCATATTGACAAATTTCACAACTATAGGCTTAGGAGAGTTTTATGTATGTTCATTTCTGGTGTGGTGTGGCAGCCGGTGAATGTTTACAACATCCAAGGCGGAAGTAAACCCTATGTCCGAGAAAGTTTGTGACACGCTATACCTTGTTGTTTACTGTCGGGGATGCCATAGACAAGCAGGTTTTGTTTTCGGGAATACATTCCTCGTGTTAGCAGACTTTAGAGTGTGAAAAGGATTAACTTAGAGGCATCAAATGGAAATTTGATACCTCATTTAATGTCACTTTTCAATGTCAAAGTAGAATTATTTTTGAATACATTATTATGCATATATATTTTGGATTGTCAGGCAATCTTAGCCATGACCTATAGTTGCTGTTTCTCCCACTGCTTTGCATTCTGTGCGCCAATCTCTGATTCTTTCTTTTGTCATTATGGTACATCGCAGTTAAAGTAAGAACTACCATACTATAAAATACCTTGAACACTTGACGTATTTCTGAGCAAAAATGGGCAAGCATCTAACATTTTACCTGGGCCATTGATCAAACAGTGACAAAGGTGAAATGCAATGTGTGCAGTGAGTGACAGTGATAACGTGAATAAGAGCCAGTAACACAACATACCTGATGGGCAGCAAATGTAGCAGCTTCTGATGCTGCCAACTTAGCCATGGCTGCTTCCTGAAATACATCATAAGGATGTAACAAGGTTAAGAACTCTCATTCACTTGCTCAAAGTTATGCCAAAAATCTGATGATGTGCTGTCTTCATGTCTGTCAAACATACTAAACACACAGTGTTCATTTGGAACACAAATCAGATACATCATCACACCTTGTTACAGCTTCAACACTTTAAAATTATTATATAATCAATAATTTCTATTATTATTTGAAGATGCTTAATTCATAACATCAACTTTTAGTACTTAAGTATGATCAAGGTAAAGCAACTGATATCGTCATCACTTCATATCTCGTTTGTGCATGTATCAAAAAGTTTATGTTTATGGTACAAAGTGTGAAACATGCAAATATCAAACAATAACTATCATTGTTAATAATTCTACAAATACTACAGGTCTATTATATCACTGCTATTAATCCTGTATTTTGGCTGTCCTCACACTATAAAATCTTCAGCTTTTCAACAGAAGTCCTCTTTACTGTCAATTATCCGTAATCAGTTGCCCAAGAAATAGTATGTTGCTGCCCAAAGGCTCTAGCATGCGTAAGGTGGGAATCCTCACCAACTCTGTCCAACAATCAGCACCCAAGATGCAGATATTGGGGAGGTGGGTGGGAATTACTCTCTGTACTTCCAGCAGGTGGTGTGTGAATCCCCAGCTATCATGTACTTCCCACATTCAATGGTGAAGGAAACACTATGTCTGTCCCACAATACACCTCTAACTATTTACATGACCAGATAACGGAACTATTCAACTGTAAATAATATACTAATAATGACTATTAAACGTTAACTGAGGACATAGATTAACAACAGTGTGACAAACTACCAAAATGTGCAAGATAAAACTCAGAAAAAGTTTCAGATGTTGTTGCTAGCACACACAGGTTTCCTGCCTTGCACATGAGCAAGAGCCTTTGGGAAGCAAGATACTATTTCTTGCACAAGATTTATGGAGGTAGGATATTCACAGGAATAATGAGCAGTCAGCAGCAAGCAAATTGGCATGGACCACACCTGTTGTTGACAATGATGTCACATTGCTATGGGCCTCTTGGCAAACAATGAAAACAATTCAACAACTCAGTGAGAATTCTTAAAAAAAATCACCTACATCTGTGCTGATAATATTGCTGATTATTTGGTCTAAACATTTGAGCATAAAGCATTTGCCAGCTACTAATCTAGTCAAAGTCAGGACTGAACACAGCGTATAACAGTTCCAACAACAAACCCTTTGACAAAATATAGTATGCATACCGGGGAAGTCCACAACAAAACGCTGAATAACATGAAAGGCGAGGGCTTTGAGAACATTTTATTTGAATCTGAATAATTTCATCTCATGTTCAAAAGCATTCATCACCTATCTAATGAAGCAGTAGGAGTATTTGCTTGTGTGTTGTTTGACACCACAGTATTCCAGCCATGTGACAGAGGCCTGTAGATTATCCAGTCTGCACCCGACAAAATATAGTGACTGATATTATGAGCAACATTTCACACTGTCGGGATATGATGATACGCAATCAATCTACCAAGTCACAGAGTCTGACCACCCGATCCATACAGACAAGGACATAGTAGGACTTATTCAAATACAGAATTAGCATAGAGCTGAAGAAAAATGAGGACACAAAATCTGCAGAACTGCAGACATCTACTTCATCATGAAAAGATTTGGTATCTTACGTCATCCATCCTGGCTACTTAATGTGTTGGAGAGCGCACAAGAGATAACATCATATGAAGTATGTACAAGTGACAGCTGCCAGATCAAGTAGCTAACCATCTTCCTATAAAAGTGCAGTTTCCATACTTGCCGAACTAGGCTGGAATTATGGAGCTATATATTGGGTGGACTAACGAGCCTTTGCATAGTCCAATCAAAACCAACATCCGATTGATTACAGGTTTTGCAAAGTATGTGCACCACCAACCAGGCATCAACAGATAGTTTCCAGTGTAAGGTGAAGGCTGGAATCATTTCCTCACGCTCCCTTGGTGTGCCAGTGTAAGGTGAAGGCTGGAATCATTTCCTCACACTCACTTGGTGTGCCAGTGTCAGGTCAAGGCTGGGATCACTTCATCACAGCCCTTGGTGTGCCAGTGTCAGGTATAGGCTGGGATCATTTCCTCACACTAACTTGGTGTGCCAGTGTCAGGTGAAGGGTGGGATCACTTCATCACAGCCCTTGGTGTGCCAGTGTCAGGTCAAGGCTGGGATCACTTCATCACAGCCCTTGGTGTGCCAGTGTCAGGTCAAGGCTGGGGTTATTTCCTCACACTCACTTGGTGTGCCAGTGTCAGGTCAAGGCTGGGATCACTTCATCACAGCCCTTGGTGTGCCAGTGTCAGGTCAAGGTTGGAATCACTTCATCACTCTCCCTTGGTGTGCCAGTGTCAGGTCAAGGCTGGGATCACTTCATCACACACTTTGGTGTGCCAGTTTCAGATCAAGGCTGGGATCACTTCATCACAACCCTTGGTGTGCCAGTGTCAGGTCAAGGCTGGGATCACTTCATCACACACCTTGGTTTGCCAGTGTCAGGTCAAGGCTGGGATCACTTCATCACTCTCCCTTGGTGTGCCAGTTTCAGATCAAGGCTGGGATCACTTCATCACACCCCTTGGTGTGCCAGTGTCAGGTCAAGGCTGGGGTCACTTCATCTCTCTCCCTTGGTGTGCCAGTGTCAGGTCAAGGCTGGGATCACTTCATCACACACTTTGGTGTGCCAGTGTCAGGTCAAGGCTGGGATCACTTCATCACACACTTTGGTGTGCCAGTGTCAGGTCAAGGCTGGGATCACTTCATCACACACTTTGGTGTGCCAGTGTAAGGTCAAGGCTGGGATCACTTCATCAAACACTTTGGTGTGCCAGTGTCAGGTCAAGGCTGGAATCACTTCATCACACACTTTGGTATGCCAGTGTCAGGTCAAGGCTGGGATCACTTCATCAAACCCCTTGGTGTGCCAGTGTCAGGTCAAGGCTGGGATCACTTCATCACAGCCCTTGGTGTGCCAGTGTCAGGTCAAGGCTGGGATCACTTCATCACACACTTTGGTGTGCCAGTGTCAGGTCAAGGCTGGGATCACTTCATCACACACCTTGGTGTGCCAGTGTCAGGTCAAGGCTGGGATCACTTCATCACACCCCTTGGTGTGCCAGTGTCAGGTCAAGACTGGAATCATTTCTTCACTCTCCTTTGGTGTGCCAGTGTCAGGTCAAGGCTGGGATCACTTCATCACACACCTTGGTGTGCCAATGTCAGGTCAAGGCTGGGATCACTCCATCACACACCTTGGTGTGCCAGTGTCAGGTCAAGGCTGGGATCACTTCATCACACACCTTGGTGTGCCAGTGTCAGGTCAAGACTGGAATCATTTCTTCACTCTCCCTTGGTGTGCCAGTGTCAGGTCAAGGCTGGGATCACTTCATCACACCCTTTGGTGTGCCAGTGTCAGGTCAAGGCTGGGATCACTTCATCACACACCTTGGTGTGCCAGCGTCAGGTCAAGGCTGGGATCACTTCATCACAGCCCTTGGTGTGCCAGTGTCAGGTCAAGACTGGAATCATTTCTTCACTCTCCCTTGGTGTGCCAGTGTCAGGTCAAGGCTGGGATCACTTCATCACACACTTTGGTGTGCCAGTGTCAGGTCACGGCTGGGATCACTTCATCACACACCTTGGTGTGCCAGTGTTAGGTCAAGGCTAGGATCACTTCATCACACCCCTTGGTGTGCCAGTGTCAGGTCAAGACTGGGATCACTTCATCACACACTTTGGTGTGCCAGTGTCAGGTCAAGGCTGGGATCACTTCTTCACTCTCCCTTGGTGTGCCAGTGTCAGGTCAAGGCTGGGATCACTTCATCACAGCCCTTGGTGTGCCAGTGTCAGGTCAAGGCTGGGATCACTTCATCACACACTTTGGTGTGCCAGTGTCAGGTCAAGGCTGGGATCACTTCATCACACCCCTTGGTGTGCCAGTGTCAGGTCAAGGCTGGGATCACTTCATCACACCCCTTGGTGTGCCAGTGTCAGGTCAAGACTGGAATCATTTCTTCACTCTCCTTTGGTGTGCCAGTGTCAGGTCAAGGCTGGGATCACTTCATCACACACCTTGGTGTGCCAATGTCAGGTCAAGGCTGGGATCACTCCATCACACACCTTGGTGTGCCAGTGTCAGGTCAAGGCTGGGATCACTTCATCACACACCTTGGTGTGCCAGTGTCAGGTCAAGACTGGAATCATTTCTTCACTCTCCCTTGGTGTGCCAGTGTCAGGTCAAGGCTGGGATCACTTCATCACACCCTTTGGTGTGCCAGTGTCAGGTCAAGGCTGGGATCACTTCATCACACACCTTGGTGTGCCAGCGTCAGGTCAAGGCTGGGATCACTTCATCACAGCCCTTGGTGTGCCAGTGTCAGGTCAAGACTGGAATCATTTCTTCACTCTCCCTTGGTGTGCCAGTGTCAGGTCAAGGCTGGGATCACTTCATCACACACTTTGGGTGTGCCAGTGTCAGGTCACGGCTGGGATCACTTCATCACACACCTTGGTGTGCCAGTGTTAGGTCAAGGCTAGGATCACTTCATCACACCCCTTGGTGTGCCAGTGTCAGGTCAAGACTGGGATCACTTCATCACACACTTTGGTGTGCCAGTGTCAGGTCAAGGCTGGGATCACTTCTTCACTCTCCCTTGGTGTGCCAGTGTCAGGTCAAGGCTGGAATCATTTCTTCACTCTCCCTTGGTGTACCAGTGTCAGGTCAAGGCTGGGATCACTTCTTCACTCTCCCTTGGTGTGCCAGTGTCAGGTCAAGGCTGGGATCACTTCATCACACCCTTTGGTGTGCCAGTGTCAGGTCAAGACTGGGATCACTTCATCACACACTTTGGTGTGCCAGTGTCAGGTCAAGGCTGGGATCACTTCTTCACTCTCCCTTGGTGTGCCAGTGTCAGGTCAAGGCTGGGATCACTTCATCACACACTTTGGTGTGCCAGTGTCAGATCAAGGCTGGGATCACTTCATCACACACTTTGGTGTGCCAGTGTCAGGTCCAGGCTTGGATCACTTCATCACACACTTTGGTGTGCCAGTGTCAGGTCAAGGCTGGGATCACTTCTTCACTCTCCCTTGGTGTGCCAGCGTCAGGTCAAGGCTGGGATCACTTCTTCACTCTCCCTGGGTGTGCCAGTGTCAGGTCAAGGCTGGGATCACTTCATCACACCCCTTGGTGTGCCAGTGTCAGGTCAAGGCTGGGATCACTTAATCACACACTTTGGTGTGCCAGTGTCAGGTCAAGGCTGGGATCACTTCATCACACACTTTGGTGTGCCAGTGTCAGGTCAAGGCTGGAATCCTTTGCTTTGCTTTGTGTCAAATAGTATATACAATCAAACTTCACAACCAGATAAGTACTTGTATTTCAAAGAAAAGTTTAGTGGTAGTGAAAGATATAAATGGGCCCACCATATTGACTGCTTGTATATATGACGACTGAGTGTGAAACCATCAGTGTCAGCTGAACCTTGATAGGTTCTCAATTGTACTTGCATTGTTTTCCTCAGGTAAATCTTTTTGTTTGAAATGTTTTTTAAACAGAAAATGTAAACTGACTGCAAAATGGTCAAGGGTATGAACATTATCCAAAAAATAGAATGTTGCGTCGTTTATGATCACATACATCAACACTCAAAGCCTTAAAGATTTGCTACTTTCGTACATAATGACTGACTTGACATTTGTTTAGTAGATACGTCTGTATATCTATTATGTGATATATTTAGAATTTAGAATTAAGGAGTTAATCAATGGGGTCAATTGAAATTTGATAAACAGCCACAGTAAACTATAGAGCATTACCATGGTAAACTGCTTTCCTGAATCTTTCAGCATAGCAGCTTTCCATGTGAGGAGTCTTGCACTCTCTAGTCTCACTTGCATGTCAGCCAGCTTCATCTGAAATTAGTTCAAATTTCATTAGATTATATCAGCCTTCAGGTTTCAACAATGTCTTACTCAGATCTTGAAGTATTAATATCAAGTTACTGTCTGATGCAGTATGCGATATTTGTGTTTATTTTTGAGTGCATATTTTACATATCCAAAAACTCAACAAACCAAGATATGTTAAAGAGACGTGTTGACATGCCAAGCTGACCAAATTACCCGAGGAATTATCTGTACAAACAAAACACATATTTTGTGAATCCCAAGCCTTTAATTCATGAGGGACTGATGATCTATGACTGTGTTGAAGGTTGGTTAAGCCATAAAAATATTACCTTTTGTCTTCTTCTGAAAGAAAATTAGAAAAATCTTAATATATTTTACATTTGTATACTTATCCTGCACTACTTCTTAATGCATTTACTGCTTACCTTACGACAATAAAGGAGAGTGCCTACCGATGGTCTTGGGTGAAGAGAAAATTGTTTCGCTCTCAGATCCAACTTTTTATATGGACCATCGCTGCTGTCATGTGACCTTGATGGAATATCAGCAATCACATTACTGACAATTGCCCAAGCTTAAAAAAAAGAGGTTTCTGAAGCCAAAGTGGGCAAGTCTGCAACGGGTGTCCCCTAAGACATAGTAATGCAGGATAAGTATACAGATGTAAAAAAATATTTAGATTTTAGTTAATTTTTTACTTATCCTGCTTTACTCCTTAATGCATCTGTATCAGACGGAATGAAGGAGGGCATACCTTCAGATGTACAAAAAACACCTAAATAACTCACACCCCCAAGCAGACACATGGTAATAACGGATGATAGTGAAAGCTAAAATCTTTATCTACTGTGTTACTGAGCTACAGCTGATAGAAGCTTGAAGCAATTCCTTGCACCAGGTAGTCTTAGACAAAACTGCGTAGGAGGGAAACTGCTTCCAGATAGGATGAGTTCATTATTTGCTTCTGGGGTTGGTTACCTACTGGGCTACTACCAGAGGGCCAAAACTGTGCATGCCTTTGATGTCTCCAAAAGCCACCTTGTGAAGATAATGACATTTTCCGCAAGCCTAGTTTTGGAGCGGCGGATGAAAACTTGTAGTGCACACACAGGGCTCAAAACGATTTCACCCTTATCTTCAACTCCCACAATCGTTAAAATTGGTTGAATAGTGAAGGAATGATTGGGTTGGCCTGGAAGTTGATTTTTTGCGATAAAATCCCATCACAACCCTAGATGAACTGCTCCCTGTGTGCTATGCTCAAACGGGACACAAGTGATGTCAAGTGCATGTAAATCTCTCACCTGTGCCACCTAGGCTAAAGCCAAGAGAAAAATTGTTTTCTTGGTGAGGTCATAAAATGAGGATGCATTGAGTGACTCGAAGGGAGGGGGTGGGGGGTGGGTAACGGCCAACACTGAATTGAGCACTACGAAAATATGTAGTAATGGTGCTACCCTTCAAGTGTCTTTTGGTCCGCAAGTGTAGGAGGCATTCGGCACTAAGTTGTGGTGATGCTGTCGGGGAATCTTGATTTTTTTGCCTTGCTAAAGGTTTCAAATGATCCCAACTTGTCATCGTATAAACACCTAGTAGAGGGACAATGCGCTTATGCAATAGTCTTGACAGCCCGCACAGACTAGTAAAATCCTGTGGACATATACACATATATAACCTAGTAAAATCCTAGATATTTTTTATATTTGTATACTTATCCTGCATTACTCCTTAATGCATCTTTATCGGACGGAACTGGAGGCAGGCATACCTTCAGATGTGGACTTTCATCTTTTATTTCCAGACTCTCTTCCCTAGCCGATCCTTGGCTGTGTGGTCGGTTTCGGGTGACCACTCCATGTATGGGAACCTCCAATTCCCTCAGCCCCTCCTCGGCTGTGTGGTAAGCATCAGGAGACCACTCCATGTATGGGAAACTCCGTTTCCCTCAGCCTGTCTGCGGTTGTATGGTCGGCCTGGATGACCATTACATGGAAGGGAAGAGGTATGTGTTGTGTCCTGGTACTGCGTAGCCTGACAATAACTCTTGGTTAGGTCGAGTCTGGGTTACCGAGACGTATACAAGTGGGGCATGAACCTTCTAGTCCAGGGCTTATGCCAGGGGAGGTCGAAAGGCCGCCTCTGGACTTGGAGGCGAGGTCAGTGATGTGTAGTAGAGGACCAAGTTGTGCGTGCCTAGCACATCCTCCAATGCGACATCTCGCATATGGTGACTGGCGATGAAAGTGTTTGATCGCCAGAACACCCCTCCAAGATGGCAAGTAGAGTTCAGTTGCTGTGTAGCGCCATGGTGGAGGCAATCGCCCAATCCCACGGCCTCCCTCTAGGTGTGCGCCTCATCACTGCAGGGGCGCGTCTATGAATAGGTGCAGAGAGGTCGTAGGCCCTGTCAAGGAGACGCCGCCTAAGACATTCGATTCCACCGTCCACCACTTGAGATGCTGCTCGAGATGATCCAGGAGGACGATGGATACTGAGGGGTCCTCGCGCCTGAAGTAGGGAGCCAGGAACATCTGAACTGGGCACAGTTGGAGCCTTCCTCTGCAGGTCAAGTCCTGCGCTAAGGTTAGCAGGCCCAGGAGGACTTGCCATTGTCGCCGAGTGCGTGGCAGGTGGAGAGCTGAAGTCAGGTGCGCCTGCATGCGCTCCCACCAGTCTTTGGGAACAGAGAAGAGATCGAGGTCCATCTGGAAGAGGCCCCCGATGAACTGAAGGCGATTTGAGGGTGTCAACTCTTACTTCCTGAGGTTGATCTTCCACCCCAATAAGTACAGGAGCCAGGGGGTGAAGTCCCTGTGGCGAAATAGAGTGACGGTGTTCCAATGACTCAGGAGACAATCGTCTATGTATGCCTCAAACTGAATGTCCCGGAGATGGAGGTACGAGGCTATCGGCTTGGTAAGCTGTGTGTGTTGCTACGGTGCCGAAGAAAATCCAAATGGGGGAACCGCCCATTGGTAATGGACCCGGACGTCGGGATGTATAGGGACATATCCATAGGCGTCCTCGATATCCAGGCTGATGAATACATCCTGTGCCTGGATCCGGGATCGCAGCAGCCTGAGCGTAGTCATTCTGAAATAAGGTGGACGCGCCAGGTAGCGTTTGTTGAAAGCGGCGAGGTTGTGGATCACCCTGTGTTTGAGTCCTTCTTGGGGACTAGGGAGACAGGTGAATAGAAGCCCGGTGTTACGGCTGTGGCGTGTATAACCTCTATCACTTTCTTGTCCAGCAGCGCTGCGACGTACTGGCTTAATTCTGGCTTGGTAGCTGCAGTTGAGTAGGGGGGTAGGTGGCTATGGCGATGTGAGTGGCGGGTCATCTATAAGCGCCAGATGATGTTGGTGACAAATGGGTCCCCAAGGATCTCACAATTCTGCCAGAAACGACCCAGTCTCCCACCTACTGGAGTGTTGACAACTTGGACGGCTTGGGGTGGAAGTCCTAGTTGTGCTTGTCTGGCTATTCACTTGAAGTCCTTACGGTCAGCGTTACCTCCTTTGGAGTGGCCGCGGTGGGACTGGTATGTGCCCGATGACGTGCCACTGGGGCTGGAGGGTGTTGCGTCGCGGCTGGTATAAGCCAGACTTGGATGCCTCAGCATAGGCTGGCTGTGACACCCTAGCTAGGGTTTTGAGAGCTGTCTCTCTCGAAGGCCGAGACTCGGGATTGAGTCATTGATGTACAGCCACAGGCGTCTGGTGTATGTTGGTCAGTGGGACTGGCTCGATGAGTGGATGGAAACTGTCTTGAAGTCCATTAATAAAAGTGTCCACAAACATTTGGTCAGGTTGTCCATATAATTCTGTCTGTAAGTGCCTCTTATATATTGATGTGGAAGCTACAAGACACTTCCTCTTTTCTTTCCGGAAATTTGTTTTAAGACAATTCATTTGGCCATGCCCTGCTTGACGGGAGTTGATACATTTGTGGGCAAAGATGCCGGTTTCCCTTTTGCATCCTCTGTAGTTGAAGTTATTACAAAATCTGTCTCCCCAATGATATTGTGTGGGCTCACGTGAGAGTCATGATTATGGTTATAGGGGTCGAATGTGGTGTCCCTCTTGCTTGTCAAAAAGCAGAATTCTGACGTGTGCGTGAGGCTGTGGCTTATACTACACGCCCGGGTGTCTTCATGATGTGACAGTAGTGTAAATCCTTGTATCAAGGATACTCCAGTCAATGATAATGCCTTTTGCAGCAAAAGATGCGGCCCAGGTTGTAAACATGCGGTGGTATTCGTAAAACAGAGAAAGTCGCTGATATCTGTCCATTTCTTCTCTGCGGTTTGGAAATGCTTCGCAGAACACAGATTTGTGAAATCCGAAAGCCTTGATAAATTCCCCTAAGGTAAGGGGGCGCTTTAGTCTGATGTCCTCGTTCATGGGTATCTGTTCGCCTTCTGCTGAAAACTCAGACATTCTGTAGTTACCAGCTTCAATACTAGCTGATAGCATTTTAGCCAAATTGCAATACTTTCTGTCCTCAATTATTTCCTTTCAGTGTTCGCTCTTCATTAGGTCAAAGTGGGGAAGTGAATCTGAGGGTACAGGTTTGACCTGCATGCATGACATATCGTGGGCACTAGCAACTGGTGTGTGCAGTAAAGTTGGTAGCTCTGGCTCATGAAAATTGGTAGAATATACCATTTTATCGCTGGGCTTGTCTGTTCTCGATCTTCTCTACTTTCCTCCGTAATTCTTGGCATTCTGCCAGAATACTGCTGAGGGTCGGTTCCTTCAATGTGGCTTCTGTTGGTGGATGTTGTACGGGTGGCGGCATGACTTGTTCTGGTTCCCGTTGTCTCTCCTCTTCTGCTAGAGTGACCGTAGTAGACGGCTGGCAGTGACTAGATGTCTGGCGGGAAATGTCTGTTCTCTGGTCTTTCGTATTCAACAGATATATCTGCACAAAAAGTTTCTTTTGTAGATTGTCCGGTACGATTACTCCCATGTTTGTTAACTTCCCTAATTTATACTGTTAATTATTTCCTACGACTTATATAATAATATTAGTACGACTGTTATGCAAAATGAATAATATATGAGAACGGACCCCGTTAAAAAGCAGTGCTGGACACAAGGTAGTTACGCTATACCTGTGGACTGGGATAAGGTAGCATCAGAGAGCATGGAAATGAAAATATACACACAGTGGAGACCTGCGTAAACTGATAGGTAGAAAAAACACGGGTTAAAGATGCCTGGTTTTAATACGTGCCTGATACGCAAATCTGGCGTCTTGGACTTTGAGCGTGGCTAGTCTGGAAGAACCAGTCATCCTCTGTAAAGTGTGCCAGATCTGCTTTAGCGAAGGCATGTCTAGGAAAATCATCATTCCTGAATTTTGTTGGCTTGAATGATGGCGCAAGCGTAAGTTTTGAAAAGTCTTCATCCAATGCCCCTAACCATATCCTTCAACATAGGATCCACCAGAATCGATGTGGGATGTGGCCATATGGTATTTTTCTTATCATCCCCGTTACCAAGGGAGGGCGCTACTGACATGAGACGGTCTGCTACCCACTTAGGCATTTGTGCTAAGCTAAGATGAGTATTCCATTAAACTGAAGAATTTTCATCCTTGCCAATTGACAAGTCCGAAGAATAGGAATGATAGTGACGTGCTCTCCTTGAAGGTGAATGACTCCTGCGATGGTGCCGTTTCTCTAACAGAAGGCTTCGAAGAGACGCCCGGTGAAAAAGACATGTGCGACAATGTCCATGTATGAGCTGTGGAACTGGTGTCGACCGAAGGTGACTCATTGTGACAGATCACGAGTGTAGACGCTGATGTATGAGTAGTCTGCTGTGTATGTGTTGTTGCTGTCACTGGAGTCTGGTATATAGGTGAAGGTGCTGGGTACAATTGTGCCATAGACTGCTGCCACATGGATGGCATAAAAATTTTCATCCAATTGTTGTTCTGGTACGGTGCTGATGGTTGAGTGTACACCTGCTGTGCTGCCGGGAAGGCAGGTGGTATAGCGTTAAATTGATCATGCATCGCTGACACAATGGGGTACACTTGAATCCCTGAAGCAGATGTAATCATAGAAGCGGCTGGGGGGGGGGGGGGGTTAAGCAGGTGCAGCTCTTGGCACGAGCCCTGGTGAATAGACGCCTGTAGTTGTCGGCTAGATCGTGGCTTGAGTCTATGCTCCCCAGTAGAAGTGCTGAAAACTCATGTGCCAGCTTCAATGGAACCGTCACAGGTGTAGCCAAATATGAAAATTTGAAGAAGGTGAAATGCTCACAATAGAGCCCTAATTGTAGAAACTGGAGGAGAGTGAATGTCGGCAGTCACTATCACGGAGGACATAGCTCCACCCAGTTGGGTGGAAATAACCAAAGATTGCAAGTCGGTCGCGTCCTGCGACCAAGACATCTTCCTCACAACACGATGGGAATGCTGCAAAATATGTTTGTGAGTGACCTGTCTATGAAAAAAGGAAAACTTGATGGAGAGAAAAGTGAACAAAAACAGCATTTGAACATTGGAGTGCAAACCTGAGTGCAATCCATACAACGTGGATCTTTGGAAGATTTTTACCACGACAATTTGTACACTGTGCAAGCATATGTTATGCAAATAGAGAGAGAGCAAATTTGAGAGATTGCCAATGAAAATTTCCATGTATCGATCGGCAAGAAATTTACAAGTTTAAATAGTGCATAATATGAAAATATAATGAAAAAAGCTTCAGGTATTTTAAATAAAAATAAGCATGTTAAAAAATACCTAGCTACAAATCGCAAACAATTTGACTACCTTTGAAGGAAAAAAGACAATATCTTTTCACATGTAATATCACCAACATATTAATACACAAGACAGTGAGAGTAATATGAAAGGAATACAATACCCATCCCAGGTATAATTTAGTGTAGTAGCCAAAAGCTAACCATCTAAAAACAATTCCAAAAGTTGAGGAGCCCAGCTGAGACACGTCCTAGTTGCTACACGACAGGCAGTAATGTGATAGCTGATATTCCATCAAGGTCATTATTATCATAAGGTAAGCAGTAAATGCATTAAAGAGTAATGCAGTAAAAGATATGATTTGTCAATCCCAGAGAGAGATTTTGACTCAGCCAACCCAATGTTTTGACATCAGATTGTCACCTTTGACCTAAAAAACAGGGCATTGTGGTTTGTCTACAGAGGTAACCATGCCTCACAAACTGACAATGACATGATCATGTTTTAAAAGAACCTGAATGCTGACCTTGACCTTTAGCTAAACTTGGCAAAGACCTGCTCAAAGCTATAAATCAGTATAACCAGAAAACAATGACCTTGATGTTTGACCTTATCATGACATTTTTCAAAGATATTTAGACCAAAAAATGTAGATATAAGAAATATCACTGGTGGCAGTGGTCAAACCCCAACAACATCTTTACGCAGTCCCATTTCACAGAGCTGCTAATTGTTCTTGGAAGACCCATGAAAACTCCTTGTGTCTCCATGTTCAGTAGCAAAAAGGGCTACCTGCAGAACATGGGGCAATAGGGTGCCCATCAGATGTGCATGACATCTACAAGTGAACAGTGAGCATGTGGTTTGACTAATCCACAAACCCAAAACCATGATGTTGCTGCTGGATATTTTTATATATCATGAGTGATTCATTCATCATAAAACAAGAGTCATCAGAAGTTGACAAATCCCACTGGTCCCCACAAATTTGAAAGAACAAATCATCAGACTTTTACTTTAAGTCCAACTTGATGAGAGAAGTTTTATCATATCTATCTGTCTGTATATAAGAGTTATAGTTATAGTTATTGAGCTATCTAAACTATATCATGGAATTGGCATTCAGAACTTTGTATTTCTATGTCAGTTATACACCACTATGAATCAAAATCAAACTTGTTGCCATGGAAACAGGAAAAATATAAATTCTAAACATCCCTAAATAGCAAAAGGTACCAGTTGACAACTTGGTCTTTGTGTGCACAGTTTCAAGAAAGAGTACCTATTACTTTAAGAGATATGGTCCGCACAAACACACAACTATGAACAGAGTCACATTCAAACTTGTTGTCTTGGAAACAGGAAAAACGTAACTTTTTGTAAATTCCTAAATAGCAAAAGGCACCACTTCTGCCTTTGATTAATACAAGTACCAAGTTCGGATGAAAATGTTGAATAGTGTTTTAGTTCTGCTCCGGAAACGACACCTCACTCCATTTCAGCCAAGTCTAACTTGTCACCGGTACCATGGAAACAGGGAAAAATCAAATTTTGAAAAATTCCAAAATAAGTCCAAATTGTTTTCATGTAAATTGAGACACAACAAAATGACTCTAAGCCGCAAATAGCAAAACTCACCACTTTAGGTTCTGTTTGTTATATCTGCCAATTTTTGTGGAAAATATTGAAAAAGTTTCCAGTTACACCCTGGAAATGATTGCGGATGGACAGTTGACTATATCCACCCTGTATTATATGCCGGGGGATAACAATGATTGACAAACTGATTATTTTCAAAATGAAAAAAATGACATAGTGGAAAAGAATCTTTTAAACATGGTCAGAAAAAAACCATATAGTAGGTCTAATGGAAACAGAAAGACAGGATTGGGCTTACCTGGATCGCTTGAAGCTTTACTATTGGTTGTCCAAACGCCAGTCTCTTTGTTGAGTAATCAATGGCACAATCCAGGGCAGCCTTACAGTGAAAAGAACATAAACATTATGTAGAACATTAAAAGTAGGTTCTATCGAATGCAGAATTCCAACTATCTTACAAGGAAATGCAATGCTCCCTGGGTCATATTGCCAAGCATAACATATTGGCTATGGACATTATCAAGACAGTGAGAAGTAGGCCAAATTTGTTTGATAATTGCACTGGTGTAACTTTCACAATTGCTCAGTTTCATAACTCAATACAATGCCCTGAATGAATATCCTCTTCTTTGTTTAAATAACTACATGTGTCAAACAGTCTGCATTATTACTACATCTGCATAAGTTGCACAGACATCAAACAAAATAAAAAATGTCATTTTCATCATTACATTGTTGGAGGTAAAGTGCTTGATCATTCAGGTCGGCAACAAATCACCAATATACCATAAGTACCAAAGTTTGTGTGTTTGTTTGTTTAATGCTGAACTCAGCAATATTCCAGCTATATGACGGCAGTCTGTAAATAATCGAGTCTTGACCCGACAATCCAGTGATTGACATCATGAACATCGATCCACGCAATTGGGATGCAATGACATGCATCAACCAAGTCAGCGAGCTTGATCCTGTTAGTCGCCACTTACGACAAGCATAGTTGCCTTTTACAGCAAGCATGGGTTGCTGAAGACCTATTCTACCCAGGATCTTCATGGATCAAGTACCAAAGTAGTACCATTATGGCAAACATTGAAAAAACAGTACCTGGCCAATACCTAGAGCTTGTCCAGCTATACCAATTCTTCCCGCATCCAATGTTTCCTGAAAGTAACCTCTGATTGAAGCAAAAGCATTCTAAAACAAGAAAGGTGTTTGTATTACATGCAAACACAGACGCAGACCCATCACCAGCTTTCCCTGAATGCCCCCAACATATGTTGTTACTTGTCGGACCATGTTGAATGATAGATTCAAATGTACATTCAGAAAACAGTTCACTTGACCGCTACATCCTTTCAATTTTATATAACTAGATTTAAATATCCATTTTGATAATATTCCAAGAGTTGAAAACAATATCAAAGTAAGGAATTAATCTCCAATTTCAAAACAAATGATTTACATACCTGTTGAACTTACTATATGATATTGTATCGCAGACATTTTGTGTTATTTTCAAAGAAACATTTGTAAAGCTTCAGTAAAGAAAATGAATAAGATACTTTCCATACTTTAGATTAATATATTTTGTACCAAAATATTAAGTGGACATGTAACTATTGAAAGAAGAGATTAGGGAAATTTGTAAAGAGGACATGTTACTATTGAAAGAAGAGATGAGGGAATTTGTAAAGAGGACATGTTACTATTGAAAGAAGAGATGAGGGAATTTGTAAAGTGGACATGTAACTATTGAAAGAAGAGATAAGGGAATTTGTAAAGAGGACATGTTACTATTGAAGGAAGAGATGAGGGAATTTGTTAAGTGGACAGAAGAGATGGAGGTATTTGTTAAGTGGACAGAAGAGATGGAGGTATTTGTTAAGTGGACAGAAGAGATGGAGGTATTTGTTAAGTGGACATGTTATTTTTAAATGAAGAGATGAAGGAATTTGTTAAGTGGACATATTACAATTGAAAGAAGAGATAGGGGAATTTGTAAAGTGGACAGAAGAGATGGAGGAATTTGTTAAGTGGACAGAAGAGATGGAGGAATTTGCAAAGTGGATATGTTAAAGAAATGGAGCAATTTTCTCATGTCATTTATACTTTTTCATGGTATTTGTGGATCATATCAAAGTATGGTGCATCTGACTTTAAACATATGCACAAAACAATAGCTGTTTTCAGATAAGACTCTGTGGTATTGAGATAAATTCTGCTATCTGTCACCACAGCGAGCACTGACATAGAGACAATCCACTTTTCCATAACTAGCGGTTCAACAGTGATGCTCAACTGATGCCTTATTAGCATATCATTCAAACAGGTAAATTTGTATGGATGGATTATTAATATCCAAATGATGACAGTGGTAAGAAAGCTATATTAAAATGGGATATAATTACATCCCATATTGGGTAGATTATCTAGTTCTCTAAGTTACCCCTACATACACACCTCTGTGTTTTGCCAGATCGGTGTCACATACCATAACATTCATAATAAGAGATGACTGTACAAAAAAAAGACAGTTGTTTGAAAAAAACACCTGATTCCTCAATAAACATTCACAACTACATGACGGTTGTTAAACCACATAAACACAAAGATATATGAGATTCAAATGAATCATTTCAAAATATGTAAAAGAAAACTCAACATAACCTTTATAACATTAAGAGGAGGCTATTGTTTAAAGATCAGCATTTTATACTTACATAAATTGTTCAATGGATATCATCAAGTTAATGTAGTAAATATTAGGGGTTTTAAATGGCCTTCATGGGTGACATACACATTTTGTATACCAAAGCTGTTGTACTTATATGCAGCACATTTCTGTCCTTACATTATTAGTTGATGAGATCTTAATATTTCCTATTGTTTATATCTCAAATTTGAATGACCTTTGAATATTGAAGTTTGTTTGTTTGTTGTTTAATGCTTCACTAAGCAAAATTCCAGTTATGCTTTATGACAGCTGCTTGTACATCAACTCCACACTCACAAGCATACCGGATGTGGAGATCGTCTCACCTACTCTCCGCAAACAGATCTGGGAGGGTAAGCATATAAATCTGACATTACTTATGATCCCAGGCGAAATGTCTACATCAGCAAGGTCATTCGCGGTCGACAATACACAGATGCTCCTGAAACCTCAGGTCGACACTAGGATGACCATGCCATTGACAATTAATATGTTCGTCATGGCATTCTGCAGATATAAAAGTATTATGTGCATCAGGTGGCCACATCGAGACAAGGAGTTAGACAAGTATGAGCGTTGCATCCTGGAGATGCATGCCCAGTATGGCAACCAACTGCTCTACCAGTATCATCGCAAGTTTTCGGCTAAAGCAGCAGCCCTACTCGAGCAACAGAACTGGAAAGTGGATTGGAGTAAGGTTGACACAGACCTTTACAGGGTGATATTCACAGGCTAGCGTGTCAAGGCTTGTCAACTGTGCCAGGATATAGGTCACATGACAGAATTTTGCTCCCTTGTGGTTACCAACCATGCCAACAGGTACACCACCAACCAACAACTGCCGGCGCGTGACACACAAGAGCAGATGACAGGGCCAGCGGAACGCCGCACTGTCGATCGATGTCGACGTCCCATAGTCATCCACCAGGGAGTACCCGTATGTAACAATTACAATTACAAGTCACACCCCCAGTTCAAGTGTTACCAGCACAGTGGTTCAGAACACAATGGAACTCAGGACCATCGTCAGATAGCCAAGTGTAACCAATGACTGCAATGCACTCCATCCCCAATCAATGTCGGGGTATTAGCTGAGAAACTGAGTACCTGTGACAACGTTCAAGCTGTCAACATGCTCATTCATGGACTGACTCATGGTTTTCTAACGGGTATTGTAAATCCACCAACACACTCCAAGATTTGTTGTAATTTACTGTCAGCTTGTAACAATCCAGAGGTGGTCGTTACCCTTTGCAGCAAGAACTAGACAAGCGTTTTCTGATAGGTCCTTTTCAGCAGACGCCTTTTCCTTCCCACAGAGTCAACCCAATTGGCATGGTGGAAGGAAAATATTCAGGAAAGAAGCGGTTGATCGTGGACCTATCATCACCTCACAATGATGACCAACACCCTAGTCTTAGCTCATTAATCAGCAAGGAAGACCAGTCACTGACCTATATGAAGGTAGATGATGCTATTGAGATCATCAAGACTACTGGACCAAGGGCGCACATGTGCAAGTTTGATATTGCAGATGCTTTTAAACTCATTCCCATACACCCTTCTATGTGGCATCTTCATGGAATTCAATGGGACGAACACTTCTATTATTACACAAGGTTAGTCTTTGGATCTCGATCCAGCCCAAAACTGTTTGATCAACTGTCCGAATCAATTTGCTGGATTGCTGAGCATGTGTACAATGTAACCCATATACTCCACCTGTTGGACGACTTTCTCACAATTGATGAATCTTTTAACTCCGGAGCAGGCACAATGCAGGAAATGGTGAACTTATTCGCAGACTTAAATATTCCATTGTCCTTACATAAGACAATCGGCCCCACTCAGTGTTTAGAGTATTTGGGCATTGTGCTAGACTCAGAGAACATGGAAGCCCATCTCCCAGAAGCTAAAGTTGTCAGAATTCTGCAAATAATGGAATCGATTGATGCAAAAAAGAAAATCACTAAACGAAAGCTCCTCAGTGTTCTTGGACACCTAAACTTTGCAATGCAAATAATTCGCCCAGGCCGCTCCTTTGTCAGTTACCTACTCAAACTAGCCTATTCCGTGCCCGAACTACAACATCATATCTCTCTGATCAAGGAATGTCGTGTTGACCTAAACATGTGGAGAACTTTTCTCAGCCAATGGAATTATAAATCCTTTTTCTTGAAAGACAGGATTACTGCCCCTTAGTTTCACCTGTTCATGGATGCTGCTGCCTCTGTCGGCTTTGCTGCCTACTTTCAAGGGAAATGGTGCGCAGACAAGTGGCCACAACAGCTGTTCGATGTAGCAGGAGAAGACATGTCAATAGCTTTATTGGAACTCTACCCCATTGTCATGGCATCATCATTGTGGGGTCACCTGTGGGTTTCAAGGAGCATCTGTTTTGTGTGTGATAATGCTGCAACGGTATCAATTCTCAATAAGGGTAGATCAAAGATTCCGGTTATCATGCTCTTCATTTGGAAATTAGTGCTTACTGCAGCAACGTACAACTTTGTGTTCAACGCCGTCCATATGCCAGGTCGTGACAATCTTATAGCAGATGCTTTGTCCCGTTTCCAGATGCAGGAAGCTCCCAGGGCTCAACCACACCCCACTCCCTGCCTGCAACTCAAAGACCTAACGATGCCCCCGATCTCGACTTAGATCGCCTCTGGTCACAAGCGATCTCCAAGCATACAAGAACTGTGTACGCCTCTGGGTTAAGAGTTATTTATGAGTATGTCCGGTGTGGTGTGGTTTCCTCATGCTCACAGAACAAATATTGTTAAATTTTGTGTCTCACTGCCATTACAAACTTGGACTGACATATTCTACAATCAGGGAATATCTGAGCGGGGTCAGGTTTGCCTATCTACGTCATGGGGTAGACAATCCTTGGTGTCGTGGTACCTTGTTGCGTTTAGAGACCATCATGCCGTCTGTAAAGAAGACATCCGGTGCCAAAAAACAAATACCCCTTCCGGTTACAATTATGGTGCTACAACAATTAGTACTGACCTTGAACCACCGCATGTTTTCGCCATTCATTGACATCATGCTTAAGGCAGCCTTTTGTACAGCTTTCTTTGCCTTTTTACATGGGGGGAGTTGACATAGAATCAGTTTGATCCTAGAGTGAATCTGTCTGTCGCTTCTGTTAAATTTGTGGTTGACTATTCCGAGTTCCAACTAACACTAAAAACCTCAAAAACAGACAACTTCCGAAGGGGTGTGACCCTCAGTGTGCATGCAGTAAAACGGGTGTTGCCCTGTTTGTGCTATGCGCAGTCATGTATCTCAACGGTTAGCGAGCGGTGCTCATCCTCAGGACCCATTACTTGTTAGATGGTACAGCTTTTACTCAACTTGTATTTGTTAACCGCCTTAAGTTCACACTTACCACAGCCGGACTAGATCAACAACAGCTCAACAGCCACTCGTTCCGGATTGGGGCTGCCACCTCAACAGCAGCAGCTCATGTACCCGACCACCTTATCAAAACCATGGGACGGGGGTCCTCAGACTGTTATGTGCGGTACATTCGTACCTCCCAGAATACCATAGCTCACGCTCAAAATGCCATGTGTAGCGTGCAGAGTAGATAGTCATATATGTTAGCAGATACACTGCAAGTCATTATTCATGCTCATTGTAATTTTGTAACCATCTACTTCATGTTGGGGGTATTCTCAGTTATTTCGCAGTTATTTCTGATCATTGTGGCAGTTAAATATCCATAATGTTTCTGGGGATATTTTCCCCCCCATCATTCATTGCTGAACATATTTATGTGTTAATGGCATGCTGCCAAATACTGTTTCTGATGCTCAGAAGTGTAAGTCATATCCTTGAATGCACCCCATGCTGGGGTCAGTAATGACTGATGCTCAGTCAAGCAGCTTCTCATTCTTGTGATGCTCACTCACTGTTCATGCGGCACTATATGCGGGTAGTTGCTCCCAATGCTTGGGCGTGTAATTTGTGCTGGTTAAGGTTGATGCTCAACCACAGGTTTCAATGTTATAGTTATTGTGGTAGTTAGTATTAACATGAGAATGCCAAAGAAACTAGCCTTGTATACATATGCTATGGTATAATGTTATTCTAATAAATTTGTCAGTTATCATGTGTTTGTTAAATTTATTATAAAGTGTACACTAATTGTTATTTGTCCATCACATCTTTGATCTTTATCCTTCAGTCCTTGGGTTTTACAAACAATTGCATGTACAACATGATACATATTTCTTACTACTAATTAGCCACAGAGCAGATAATACTCTCCTCAAGCAACAAACTACCTCAGTTGCAAACGAGTAACTTCCTGATGCATCCATGAGTGCTCTGGAATAACCATGTCCACATGCCAAAATGTTTCAGCAGACTGAAACTCTGTACTCCATGTCTATCATCCATGGAATAACAATAAACATCAACTGTCATATTGATATAAAAAATGCAAATAAGCTACAAAAACCAAGATCTGTCACAGCTGATAAATACAAAACGTTATATATACATGCCCCCAGCACTTACCATGGCAATCTTAAATCCAAAGCCTGGTTCACCAAGAAGGTTTTCTTTAGGGATGTGACAGTCATCAAAGATGAGGTTGCATGTCGATGATGCCCGTATGCCCAGCTTGTCCTCTTTCTTGCCCAGAGACAACCCTTCCACTGGTTTGGGCAGGAGGAAGGCACTGATACCCTGCAAGTATCACAAAGAATCAACTTTCTAACAATTTATACAAGCATGTGTGATGTGTTCCCATCTATACACCTTTAGAATTTTACCTGTCCAAAATGTCTCCACACAAAGAAGTTATGGTCTTCTCTTCATTCAGTCATACTGTTTTCATACACTCAACAACTACACACAACTACATACTGAAAAAGTTTAATTTCTCTTTACATGGTTTTCCAATTGCTATTGTAAAGTAACTTGATTATCTTGGTGTGTTGTTCAGTGGGACTGGGAGACTTTGTAGTGGTGTTGAGAGACCAGCTGTGTTTGCAGTATGTAAGAGTTTTCACCAGTTAAACATGCCGGTTGACTGTCAATCAAAATTATTTCAACAACTTATCCAGCCTGTTTTTCACTAAGTTTCAGCTGTTTGGGAATATTAGCATATTAGAATGCATGCATCTTAAATTGAGCAAACATATCTTAAATGTAAAGCAATCTACTCCTGCATTTACAGTGTGGCCTACCTTTAGAATGGAGTACCACAAACTTTTAAAACAGGTCATAAGAGTGACTATACGCTATCCCGTAATTTATGAGATTTTGTAGCCAGATACACATGCGAAATAATGCACTGTGACATCAGCATAACAAGAGAGTTGCTGAGGTCATCGAGAAAGCACATTAGCTTCTCTTTGTGATCTATTATCTCTCCAGGCAATCTCTTTGAATATGCCCAGTGATGTTGAGAGTTTTCAATTTAAGTTTACTAAATGTAGCTGTTGCTGTTATACCAAGTGACACTTTGGGAAAGCATTTTTAGTTTATCTCAGTTTCAACTTCATTGGAGATAGAAGGATTACACATGGGAACGAATATTGTTTAATAGACACATATTTCATCACCCATGTTGCTTAGGTCAGTTTGAGACGGGATATGCTTATCACTGCAATAGTGTGATCTGCTGCTGTTGTTGTACATAGTGGGCCCTTAGTTTAGTTCAGTTTGTTAGTTAAGTTCAGTTAGTTCTAAACGAGTCTACTTTGTTAAAATAGATTTGTGTAATTTAGTAAATCTTTACTTTGTTTATTATCTATTATTTTGCAAAAACATAAAAATAGAGTGTTATTACTTATATTGGCACATACCATGAAAGAGTATATTGTTTAGCTACTGTTAGGTAGTGTTGTCAGTGTTACTCAGCAGTTAACTTACTGTTAGTATACTGGGGTACATTAAAGGTTTAGTTGTATCAAGTTTCAGCATTATGTTAATCACACATTATTTCTCCGTGTAACCTATTGTTTGGCCATTGTTTTTCTTGAGGATTTCAACGCCAAAGGGGAAGACTGAGGAAGAACTCACGGATTAGGTAGCAGGTAACAGTGTAAGAATCTACATCAAAACATCCATACATGCAGTTAACATGGTAAACTAGAAGTTGTTATCTATAAAGCCGTACATTTTCTTATTTACTCACCAACTTCTACAATGTCAATCAAACAGTAACAAAGGTTGCCCAGTTCTCATAGTTTCAAACAAGTACCAGTTTTTTTTGTATTTCTGGTGATCCTTGGTTAAATAATTCCCAAATTCTCACCATAAGTACTTTTTATAATGTCTTGTTCAATTGTTTGCCTTGTTGCTATTAGAACACAGAAATACTCTCATAAAGAGAGGTCATTTACGGAATAAAGAGAACTGTCATTTTATCATGAATAAATATTTCATGGATACATGTACATGATATTAGTATTCGTAAATTGTAATTTTGTTGTAACTGTAACTCATTCTATAGAGAGTGACTAATACCTTTAGTTAATTCTCTTCTTATTGGGTTAATTATTTCTTGACTATACTATCAGGATATAACATTTAAACTAAGTTTTCATTTAATAATTAGATCCACAGCAGTGGATCATAAGTTCATAAGTTATCTTGGTGTAACATTTACACAAAATTTCATATAATTTTAGAACAGCAAGTAATACATATTAGGAATCAGGAAAAATGCAGATACAAAATATTAGTAGTTTCAGTTATTGCTTTTTAGATAGATGGTAGCCTAAGGTAACGGGAACTAATATCCCAGACATACTATTCAATAAGACAAAAGTTATGTCTACATAGTTTAACAGATTTAAAGCTTTTAGATAAATACTAGCCTAAGGTACCGTAACAAGATCCCATCTCCCAGACATACAAATCAATAAGACAAAAGTTATGTCTACATAGTTTTATAGATTGCCTTGAACTATACTAGCCACATAAAGAAACTGTGCACGGAGAAAATATAGATATAAGGGCACACCGTCCATATATGAAAGATAGGTTTGAACACAGCAATTATTGGAGACATTCAAACGCTCATGCACGTGCCATGCGATATGACGTCATTGATGGGGGCCTATGGACGTGCAATGTGTTACTGCACGTGCATCCTGTGCAGCTGTACACAGCATGTGCAACTCAAAATTCCCTGTCACTTTGGAAAGCATATTCTGTGGTCATTCAAAAATTCAAAACTTCTCAGGCGCAGACACAAGCATATCACAAGCAAATCATGCCAAGATTGACAGCTGCACAGCGTCATGAAGCCATTGGAACGATCCGAGCGGGAATGAGGCAACAACAGGTGGCAACACATTTCCAATGCCATCGTAACACGATATCGGCATTGGTGAGGCGTTATCAGAACACAAATGACGTTGCCGACCACCCACGTTCAGGACGTCCCCGAGTAGCGACGCCAAGACAGGACAGATGGATTCGAGTTACACATCTCCGACACAGGTTCCAAACAGCAGTAACGACGTCCCAGACAATTCCTGGACTGCGCCGTATCCATCCCAACACTGTCAGGAATCGTTTACGTCAGTACGGGATTCGACCACGACGCCCTGCCATACGTCCCATCCTGACACACCGTCATCGAGTCAACCGTCTAAGATGGTGTCTAAATCATGTTCGCCAACCTTGAATATGGTGGAGAAATGTTGTCTTTACAGATGAATCGAGGTTCAACATTTCCCACAGTTAAGGGCGCCAACGTGTCTACCGGCGTTTGGGAGAACGTTATGCACGCAACTGTATTGTGGAGAGGAATCGTTTTGGAGGTGGCTCTGTGATGATTTAGGGTGGGATAACAGCACGGCACCGAACCCCTTTGGTGGTTGTTCAGGGCAATCTCACCGGTGTTGGCTACAGAGATCGGATTCTGAGGCCTGTGGTCATTCCTTTCCTTCAACGTCATGGCCCGGGATTGACATTTCAACAGGACAACGCTCGTCCTCACATGGCTAGGGTCGCAATGGATTTCCTTCACCATAACAATGTCATGTTACTGCCATGGCCTGCAATTTCTCCAGATCTCTCCCCAATAGAGCATGTGTGGGATGAAATGGAGCGCCCTCTGCATCGTCTTCCACATCCTCCAGATAACGTCCGTGACTTGGCACAGGATTTGAGGAGGATATGGCAGGCAATTCCCCAGGTGTTCCATGCCCATTTGGTGGACTCAATGCGTCGCCGATGCACTGCTGTGATTCACGCACAGGGTGGTCATACCCGTTATTGACTTTGTGACTTTGTCGTTTGACCCCCTATTCCATTTTGATCTTCTGACGTCATCGTAACAGATGTTGTTCAGGTTCTGGTGACATTTTCTTATGGTCCCATCATTCAGCTGCTACAGCGTCTGCATCATTTTGTTCTTGCTGTGTTGTATTTCAATCCAGAATATATTTTCTCCGTGCACAGTTTCTTTATGTGGCTAGTATATTTTATTTATGTAAATCTGTCATTACCTACATAAGAAAAACATTCAGTAATTACTTCAATAAAGAATCATTATGGATTAGCCCCATACAAGCTCGTCTATAGTGATACCATAATCTCTTTCCAAGCACCCAGTCAATATGTCAACACGATTAGTGCCAGTCAAACAGGATTAAGTATTCCCCTCTGTCTAGCCATTCATTAACTGTAGAGCACACCCCTTTGTGTATCTACCAATCATATTCCTTTTTATTGTTCTAATTTTTGTTAAATACATACAGAAGCAAAATGTTAGGCAGAAGGGGTTTGACGCTCATACCAAGCAGACCTCTCACTCACAGCCCAGAGGGTTCTACCGACTCTCTGTGGCACCCTCAGCTATATTCTAAGATATTGTAAATTGTTCATTGTTAATTGTTCTTGTAAATAAAATTTTAATTTGTCTCCTGTGACTCCGGCTCTTTGCTGACTAATTCCCCCAAGAAAACCAGCATGCCATTTGGAAGGTTTTGTTCCTCAGAACAGAACCATAATAATTTTGCGGAGAATCATCGATTTCGGAACCACGGAGCCCAGAAACTAATTTGACCAGCTACAAGAACCCATTGGAGGACATGTACAACCGTGATCATCTAATGGAATAACAAGCAATCTGCTTCCACCTCTTACCTCAACACTGGATTAAAGACAACCAACTCCTCTAAAGACACCTACCAAGTATTCAGATATTGTAAGTACTTCATTACATTGTTGGTTTCTTGTATTTCTTTATTTTTGTACGGTACATACTATAAGGTGTAATGGCAAATATTTAGTATTGTATGGAAAGTAACTTTGAAAGTGAAATTCCGACTGTGTCTTTAGTTACGCCCCTTGCCAAAAGTGTAATTCAGGCAAAATTTGGCACAAAAACAACAAATTGTTTAGTTGACAAAAACAACAAATTGTTTAGTTGATACAGGGGCATCCATTTGTTGCATTTCGTCTGCTTTTCTGAACATAGCTTTTGAAAACCTTGCACTTGGAAACTCATCCTTTCCACAAGTTAATGGTGTTGGCGGCGAATTGAATGTGTTCGATTTTGTTATTGAGAATCAGGAATTTTCTCAAAGATTTTATGTTCTGCCTACACTACCAAAGGCAGTGATACTAGGTGAGAACTTCCCTAATGACAATGATGCAGTCATAGATTATAGCTGTCATTCCTTGATACTTCGCAACAGCACCTCAGATAGGCAATATATTAA